TTGTTACGTCTCTGTTCGTTTGATAATTTCCGGTATAAATTCTTCCCGAGAAACTTCAGCGATACAAGTCCTTTCTTATCTAAAACTAGTTTATTCTTCCTCAATACGACTTTGATAATTTCCGGTATAAATTCTTCCCGAGAAACTTCAGCGATACAAGTCCTTTCTTAAATAAAACTAGTTTATTCTTCCTCAATACGACTTTGCAATACACATAATTTCCACAGTCACTTTGACTTAAACACACGCTATAATTCACAACGATTTACACACTTTACTTACGGATTGATTCGATTATCTGCCTCTTTCTCCCTGTCTGCTATTCAATTATCTATCTCGTCACTTTATTTGCCGGCTTATATACTATAAGAGCGCGTGTCTAGCAAACACCCGAGCCTTCAGGAACGTTCGAGATACTCATTACGGGTTACAAGGGTCACGTTACTTCCGCTGTCGTAACAATATATATAGCTAGATATGGATATATGTTATATATATATATATATAGAGAGAGAGAGAGAGATGATATATATAGATAGATATAGAGGTATGATATATGTATATATATATGTGTGTGTGTGTGTGATAAAATAGTTTACATAAAAACATACGTTAACTACGAATTGCAGGTAAAACTCACTTTAAAAAAAAAGACAAGTTAAGTCAACAACTAGCTTTAATTAGATATTGGATGTGGGCTACTGGTTAGTTTGCCCTGCCTGTGCTACCAAAAATTCGTGGTTCGCGTCCCACTATCTCAAAAACTAAAAAAACAAAAAAAAGTAATACTCAAATGCCACTATTCGATAACAGAAGAGTATTTCAAGAGATGAAAATGTTTTCTGATGACAAGATGCCTTACTTCTACTCTATCAGTTTCAATTAGGGCTGGCTATGCGTGATACACCATTGCGGAGTTTTGGGCGAAAATTCCAAAACAAAATCAGCCAAGAAACAATGAAAGAATATTCTAAACATACCTTTATAAAACGTATACTTTGCTCTGAAACCAGACTTAGGATTGTCGTCATTAGCGTAAAATTTGCTTCTTGTTAAGTAAAGACGTAACGTTTCTTTATATCTCTGTGTTAATTTAGTCCATATTAGATATGTTGATCTTTAATGCTAAGTAAGGACGTAACATTTCTTTAAGTATCTAGATTTCGCCTTCAAATAGTCCTTTTGAGATATGGTAATTCGGTTGGTTAACTAACGATGTAACGTTTCTTCTTTTGTATGGATTTCATCACCAGTTTATTTCCCCGATGTATGATAATGACTTACGTTAAGTAACAGCGTCTTCGTCACCTGTTAGTCGAAACTAGATATAGTAATCCTTCACGTTAAGCAAAGTTAGACTATTTCCGTAGAAACTAAGTATCTAAACATGTTTTTAATCGTTACTGTTATGTAAAAACGAAGCGTAATTTTGCTTTACCTCTAGGTCATGGAGAACAATGGGTCCACTTTGGACGCTTATAACGGAGACGAGTTCCGACCGCCAGTGATATCGTCAAAAGGTCACGTTCTAAAAATGAACTTTCTTTATATCTCTGTGTTAATTTAGTCCATATTAGATATGTTGATGATATGTTGATGCTTCTTGTTAAGTAACGACGTTAATATGGACTAAATTAACACAGAGATATAAAGAAACGTTACGTCTTTACTTAATACGAAGGATTACCATATCTAAGATGGGTTAACCTCAATAAAAGACCAGGTAGAAATCCAAGAACACCAATTGGATAAATCCCTTCTTTAATATTATAACATAATACTAATCTCAATAAAAAAAACAGGTAGAAAGCAGGCAATCCAAGATCACCAATTGGATAAAACCCTTCTTTAATATTATAACATAATACTAATCTCAATAAAAAAACAGGTAGAAAGCAGGCAATCCAAGAGCACCAATTGGATAAAACCCTTCTTTAATATTATAATAAAACACTAACCTCAATAAACGACCAGGGAGAAAGTAGGAAATCAAAGAACACCAACTGGATAAAACCGTCATTCTCCAGATTCCTAATGATATATTCTGCACTATAATCGCTGGGATATCTATCTGGGAAGAACGGTGATTCGATGTATCCTGTCATACTCGGCAGATATAACGTGTCACTACCTTCATATACGTAACTATTATCTGTCAGAAGAATTAGTTTCTTAGATATTAGTTGTAAAATGCGATTTTAAATTGCATAATCAAGCCACTCTTATTTCAAGATAATTTGAGGCTTAATATTTACTTCTAATAAAAGAAACACATAAACCTTCGGGACTTTACATACAAGAATACAATTTATGTAATTAGCATTATTTTGTGTTTTTTTTTTATCTTTCAAACGTTTTACGTCCATCACATTCCCGATACAATATGTATTTTACATTAGTGTAACTGTGACGTAATGATAACAGCAAGAAATCTAACAAACATTTGCTTTTTGTTCACTAGTAAATTATTTTTATAAATAATTATTATTATCTAAATTGAATTAAAATTTTGTTCTAAACCGGTGCAATGTATAATAAAATACGTGTTTAAATCATACAATTAATTAACTAAAATAAAACAAATCTCTATAACGAAGATAAGTTAAAAAAAACGATAAATCATTGAACGTAATGCCTCCCAAACCTATTACTTTCAAAGTGTAAACTACGCATCTGTGAACTTGACCAACAAGAAACATGTACTAATTCATCTCTTAATCTGATCAACACAAAACATGTATTGATTGATCTCTTAATCTGATCAACACAAACCATGTATCGATTGATCTGTTAATCTGACCAATAGAAAACATGTATTGATTCAACTGTTAATCTGACCAACAAGAAACACGTATCGATTGATCTTTTAATGTGATCAACAAAATACATGTACTAACTCATCTCTTAATCTGATCAACACAAACCATGTATCGATTGATATTTTAATGTGATCAACAGGAAACATGTATTGATTCATCTTTTAATCTGATCAACACAAAACATGTATCGATTCATCTGTTAGTCTGACCAACAAGAACTATCAACTGATTCATCTGTTAGTCTGACCAACAAGAACTATCAACTGATTCATCTGTTAATCTGATCAACAGGAACATCAACTGATTCATCTGTTAATCTGACCAACAAGAACTATCAACTGATTCATCTGTTAATCTGACCAACAGGAACCATCAACTGATTCATCTGTTAATCTGACCAACAAGAAACGTGTATCGATTGATCTTTTAATGTGATCAACAGGAAACATGTATTGATTCATCTGTTAGTCTGACCAACAAGAAACATCAACTGATTCATCTGTTAGTCTGACCAACAAGAACTATCAAATGATTCATCTGTTAGTCTGACCAACAAGAACTATCAACTGATTCATCTGTTAATCTGATCAACAGGAAACATCAACTGATTCATCTGTTAATCTGACCAACAAGAAACGTGTATTGATTG